TAGTAAGTAATAACTATATACTACTACTACTACTAATTAATAAGTAGTTACTTAATTAACTAAACTAATATACATATATAATAGTATATATATATATATATATATATATATATATATATATATATATATATATAACAACATCAAACACTTTCACAGGAAAAGCAGTTTGAATTTGAATTTTAACAAAGAAACAAATTTGAATTGCACAAATCACAAATTATCTAAGAGATATCACCAACCCCGAGAAAGTAAAAACCATTTCATGAAACAACATCAAGGATCAAAACCTGGAATATCACTCCATGGTCTACATACTTTCAAATTCACAATAACACAAGCAAAAGACTAGAAATGCATCTGGTCAAGACACCACTAAACCCAAGAAACTAATTCCATTAAGTACAACCAAAATCAAGGTCCTAATAATCTACTTGATAAAGTAAAAAAAAAACACGAGAACTGAAGTAAGCAGTGTACCTCTCTGTACATCTGTTCAAGCAAGCCAGTAAGCTGCTGCTTCAAAGCTTCAATGGCCATGACTCAGACTAAAAGAGAGAACTATTTCTTTCCCTGAAACCCTAAACTGAACTTCTGAAGCATCACCAACACAAATATATAGACCACCATTAATCACAATTTGCTAAATATACACAGCTCGTCTTGATCCTCACCGGATTTTTTTTTTCACCATATATTTTTTTTTTCTCATATAATTATGAGTTAATGGAGACGGAAAATTGATCCGCATAGACACGAGCGCATCCAATACTTAGCTTCAACAAATAGTTTGCTGGTGTAGGCCCTCTTTTAAAAACTGTCCCTCCATTTTTTTAAACCCTAGTTTGACACGTGGTGCCTTAAACCCGGTAGCAAAAAACCATCACCGTTATGTGAACACAACGGCCGTTATATGATAACCAGTTATATATTTGGTTACATGTCCACCTTGGCGTGCCAAGTATCCCAATTGGAGCCCAATTCAGAAATCTCAAAAGAAATTCAGAAAATTATAAAAATTCCAATAAATTTAAGAATTTTATTAATAATATAGTTTTTATATTTTCTATCATTTTGTCGGAAAGTTTTTTTTTTTTTTTTGCCATTAATACTTATTTATATATTTTTCCTTCTTTTTAGATTATTTCTAAAGTACCCCCTCATAAATTGATTTTTCAAAATCCGTTTTCACTATTGCTTTGACTTTGTTTTGTTAATTTTACTTTAAAAGAAATTTCCTTTTTGTGGATTTTTTTTAGTATTTTTTTTTTAATACTTTCTTGGCCTTGCCCAGAACTCAAGCCGAGTTACTTGCACTCGAGCCACGTACTTGACTCTCTTTCCAACACTTAAAAACTTAGACACCTCTTATTTGTCATGCTTGTTAAAGCACCATGATAGTACATGTTATCATCTAAAATTTCAAGATTCACCTAAAAATCATCAAATGATTGTATCTTGATAAAAAATAAGTCGAACACTTAGATCTCACCCTCCAAAAATCTTATCATCTAAAATTTTAAGATTCATCTAAAAATCATCAGATGATTAAATCTTGATAAAAAATAAGTCAAACACTTAGATCTCACCCTTCAAAAATCAAACACTCCAAATGTTAGGCATGTATAAATTTTGTTTCACATTAATCGGTAGGTTAAAAAGAATTCACAACAAACATTCTCTTCAAATAATAAAAATAACAAGTGGAGAATTGGGCATTTTTTTAAAAAAATAAACGATAGGTTATTGTATTTTAAATTTTTTGCCAATTGTTTCTGTTTTTCTCGTATTTTCCCTTTTCCTATTTTTAATATTTTATGTGTTAATACGTTTTCTTGTTTTTGTATTAAACGTAGAACTTTCCCAGTATAACTGCGATTACTTTGGTAAGATGGTAACGGACTAGTCCCGTTATAAAATGTATTATCCGTTTTCTATAACCTAGTTTGCACCTATGCATGAGAACCTTGGAATAGAAGTTGTTATTCTATCTTAAAAGGGTCAGACAGAAGTGCCCCAAATCTTTTTGGGAATACTAAATTGCCCATGTGAAAATGGAAATGCAAACTATAAAGAACCAATGGCAACCACACATTGATATATATTAAATAAATAGTTGAAAGCGCTCTCCCTCTCTCTTTCTTGATGTACATTAAATCAATGGTTGATAATTCTCTCTTTCTCTCTCTTGATATATATTAAATGAATAGTTGATATCTCTCTCTTTGAAATTTGAAGTCAATGATGGTATGTCTATTGTTGATCAATTATTTTCACTTGAGTGTTTTTTTTTTTTTTAATATATGAAACCAGAATTATAGGTGAAGCATTTTTTTTTATCAGTAACATGTGTTGATTTTTTACATACATGTAGTGATTTTTTTTACAGTGAAGTGTGTGTTAGCTTCAACTTCAATAGAAAGGGGCTAATTGGTCATTTGTTCAGAAATTGCCCTAGAAAAAGGAGTACCCTTCTTATGGCTTTGGGTAAGAAATAAGGAATAGCCCCAAAAAATGTAAAAGAAATGAACCTAAATGTTCGGACCATTTTCAATGTATTTAGTCATTGCCCTTTAGCATTATACTAATCTTTATGGAGTTGACAAAAATGATACCTGTAAATAGCCCAGACGACTTTTGGGTTTCCCTTAGGATTGAACTGTTTTTATTGAGTTGACAGAAATGAAACCCAAAAATAAAGGTCTTTAGGTTTCATTTTTGTCAACTCATTTCCAGCAAAAATATGGTTAAATGTAGACTTAGGGTTTTATAATAATTTAATGTTCTAAGACGGTTGAAAGATAAGACTGTTTTATTATGTTTACAAAAATGAAAACCAAATATAACTAATGGCCAGCAAATATATGATTAAATATAGACTGTCGGTTTTATAAGAACTTAATGTTCTAAGACGGTTGAAAGAATGGACTGTTTTTATTGAGTTTACAAACAATACTAAAAAATGACTCGGCCAAAAGATTAGACTGTTTTTATTGAGTTTACAAACAATACTAAAAAATGACTCATGGCCAGCAAAAATATGATTAAATATAGACTTTGGGTTTTATTAGAATTTAATGTTCTAAGAGGGTTGAACTTTGTGGACCTGCACCAGAAACTTTTTAGACTTCAATGTTTTTTCAGCCTTCGCCATCACCATAGACTAACTTCCAAAGCTGACCAAAAGGTTATCTAAAATGGTGCATGCACTCAGCATAGACTGTTTTTGGTAAACATTTTTGTCAACTTAATAGTGAAGCAAAAGCTGGCTGAACATGGACAATTGTTAGTTATATGAGAAGTTAATGTTCCACATTAATAATATCAGAACAATAAATGCTCCCAAAAGCCAGAAAAGAAAGTCAGAAAGCCATTTTATCAAATATGCTTTTCCCCTAAAAGAATGGTACATTGTCCAGAGTGCACAATACATTATACGATGACAGACAGCTGGTGGTTGCCCAAAAAAAGAGAGAGATTCATTCTACTTTGAGCCTTTAGATGTTTGACTGAAAACTATGTATGGGGCTTCTCTTGAAGAGGAAGATAGTAAACCGTAGGGCCAAATGATAGAGGTACCCAGTGGCCGAAACAAGAACTCGGGTCATGACTTGCTAGCACCACGGGCGTGAGTTGGAGACAGGTCTAACAATTTTAGTCGACTCGATCATACGATCTCAGTTGAGGCCAAAAAAAAAAATTGAAGCATTGAGAACTGATTAGACTTGACCGGCGCATGGATCTGATTCTGGGTTTTTTCTTTTGCTTTGCTCAAACCCCACAGCGACAATGTTGAATCTATGCAGAGCCCAAAGTACGGCCTGAAGGTCCAAGACGTTAGATCAACTCCGGATTTGGCATCATTTGTTTTCCGAATAACTCGTGCGGGTCCGAGTTAGACTCGCAGAGATTTCCAGACTGGAATGCCAAAAAGAGGCATAATGTACTTGTGAGTCTTTATTAACAAATCAACATTGTCTTGTGCAATAGCAAATGCACAAAGCAAGACAATTAGAAGGCACCACGTAGCATAGATTATAGCAAATCCAAATATATCATCTTTGTTGGAAAAAGCGACACCATTCTTAGAAAACGCAGACATTTTGTTGAAACCATTTGCTGAAATCAGCGATTAAAAAGTAGGAGTGGTAGGGGACTGGACTCGCTAGCATACTGATCCTGAGGCCTGTCCGAGCGTGGTAATTTTTCATAAATTCTTCAAAAAGAAATTAATGGAACTGGGAGACTCGAGCAACTCCAGTGATTTTCAGCTCGGAATCACCTGTCTCTCGACCCCATCAGTCGCGGCAAGTCCTCGGTCACACCAACAAATTTTCTAAGCCCTGGTTAAAATTGATTTTCAAACCTACCAGTTTTTTAGACAATATATTACACACACACATTATGTGCCCTGATACTTTATGCAAAAGATGACAGATTTTGAAAAGAGAACCATACACCCTACACCTCAGAGACATCACCAAACAGATTTCCACACAATGCACTGAAATTTTTCCCTCTTAATAATTGCACAAACAACCAAGTCTGAGGTCTTACAATATCACCTGCAGAAAGCTCCAGATACTAAAGATTACAGCTTCCAAATAAAATTCATTGTGGCATAACCGATAGCTAAATTATTCAAAAAGCGAAAGAAATGGTGCATAGGATGGTCAGGCAGTAGCAGTAGCTTCCTTCTCTTCTGTTTCCCAGAAGGAAGTCTTTTTACCAGTCTTCGAAACAGTTTGTAGAACTGCATCAGGTTGCACATTTCCTTTCACTGTGACCTTTTGCTCCTTGATATCCACATCAAAGGATTCAACACCTGCGAATACAATGGAGCGAAGAAATAAATATATATTTAGTTTTTTACATTTCCTAACATAATATAACAACATCAAGAGAAACAAAGGAGGGCATGAAATTTAAACAGTGTTTCAAAAATTGCCGGTCCGACTTAGGAGTTGCCCAAGTCGGACTGAATCGAGATGCCCAGCATGGGCAGGCAAGAGAACCTCGTGAACTGAAACATCTTAGTAGCCAGAGGAAAATTTTAGGGTTAAGAAACCCCAGAATTGCCCGAGCCCCCCGATTTTCTACTAATTTAGTATTTTTATCTCTTAAATATAGCCCAGTCTGCCTAGGGAATTTCCTGAATTGAAATGGGCCAATCATAATCAAACACTTCGCTAGTTGGAGCCTGATTCCAACTTTGTACACATCGAATTCACAGTTTACAGATGTTTGAATTACCCTCAAAATTCATAATATGAACATAATATCCTCATTTGGCCCATTGCCATAGCCATAATTGCATGAACACTTTGTTGGTTTTGAATGGGGCAAGCTAATATTTACTAGGCGCATCTAATCTCAAACCATATTGAATTTCAATTGTAAATTACATGATTCCACTTTTCTTTCTATGAACTTTTCAGATCACATAAAAACAAGTATACTCAAGGAGAAAAATGAGGCTGATATTTACAAATTCACTCAAACATGATCCTGGTTCATGACACATTTATTTCAGGGGGAAGGGTTTCAGGACCATATTTATAAGTTCGGTAAGAACACAACATTTATGTTGACTTGGTAATCATAAGTAACATGAATAATTTTTCTCAGTCCACCTTCATCATATTTATCAACGAAATTGTAGAAACCAAACTGTTCAAGCCAATGCGTTTATCTTTAATGTCTATCCCTAAAACTGCATAAAAAAGAAAACAAACAAAACAAATTGTTAAAACATATGAGATTTGCTGAGAACTGTTGGACGAAAAGGTTTCATTTCATGCCTTTTAAATTTCAGCATCCTTCTGGTATTTTTGAAAATGTCTTTCAATACATACCAAGCAAAAGAAGGTCTCTATCCTTTGAAAATGTCTTTCAATACATACCAAGCAAAAGAAGGGTCTCTATCCTTTTTTCTCTTTTTTTTATTTAATATGTGTTTCTATCCATTCTTTTATGGGTAAATAAATTAATAAGCTGGGATCTCAGTGTATAAGAAGATTCTTCAAGGCTGCGCTGTGCAGGTACTTAAAGCTAGATAGCGCAGTTCAATGTAACATCATAGATCCCACAAAATTGCCTTGAACTAAACAAGAAAAGAGAAAGAAAACTACCCAAAAACATGATGAGGAAAGATGATTGGTAGAGAGAGGAGGATGGGAAATTATGAAAAAAGCAAAAAAAGAGGAAAGCCAGAAGAATCTCAGATCTTTTCTTCCCCCATAAGATTTCATCAGGGATATATCAAAATGCAAGGATAACAAAAGGGAAATAATCATTGATGCTCTTGAAAGATCTTTGAGCAAGAGAGAGAGAGATAGAGACAGAGAGTCTTGATGTTGTGAAAGAAACTGGACCTAGCAGGTGGACCATATGTTGTTCATTGGGGCAGAAAGAACTCCGAATAGAGTTAGAGCCTGAATAGACAGACAGAGCATCTGTTGTGATGAGAGAGAAACAGATGAATTGATGTGGGGTTTCAGAGATTATCGAGCCTTTTTTTTTTCAAACCGACTGGTCAGAGGTTTCTATGCATGAAAAGACAGGAACAATACGGGGTTTCTATGAAATTTTCCCTAATTTCAGCAACGAACATGGAGAAATAAAATTTTAAAAGAAGAAATAAAATGAAGTAATACAGATGAATACCTTCCATTTTGGTGAGCACCCTCTTCACAGCTCCAACGCATCCTTCACAGGACATGCCAACCTTAAGAACCACTGTCTGTACACAGAAACGAAGCAATGCATCAGTTAAGCTTGGGAAAAATCACAGTCTCAAATAAAAACACTCGGATTTAGAAAATTCCTAACATTTGCTCATTTTTAGCATACCATTTGCATTGACACAGATGTTTTTCTTTTTTTTTTTCCTTAAAATGACAGATTTTATTTTTAGAGTAAAGGAGCTTAGGTGAAGGAACTTCCTTCTTTTAATAGAAACACTGCATCTAAACCGAAGGTCAGAACACGTTGGCTAAATGGTATCATTTTCTCTGATGTTGTTCTTGCAACAAAAATATTTTTATGGGTAGTTGCAGCAAAAATTGTTACACTAACTTAGTCACATGCATAACAACAGCACAATGATAAACTTGCTCTTTAGAAAAACAAAAATGCCCCTAAAAATGCATTCGAATGTCAAAAAATACACATGCAACTCTGAAAACCCTTTCAGAAGAGCATCAAAGGAGATAAGAAAAGCAACAATTGGTTCATAAATGCAACATCCACGTTTCCAGCCAAAAACATAAAAATCAATAAACAGATCTAAAGAGAAGAATTTACTCAAAAAAAAAAAAAGGCTTCTCACAATAAGTAGTTCCTCTTAAATAATGTGAAAAACCAACATCAGCATGCTTGGAATTGTCATTAAGCATAGGATTAGAAGTCAAATAATACTTATTCCATCTTCGAGAAGAACTTAACCCCGAAGAAAAAGTCATCTCCAAGAAAGGGTGAGGCCCATGAGGAAGATAAAATCTAAACATCGAAAACCCCAGACTGTCTGACCACCCATTGCTAATGCAGCCTTACTCTGCCTTCACACCAGAATGAAGAGACTGTATCACTCCTTGTTGCACCAAGAAATAATAGAATCTCCCAGAAAGATACTAGAGACAATAATATACTATCTCACTACACATTGCTTATTCAGCTCTAAATATCCAAAAACAAAAAATAACCAGAATTAGACTACATCCAGATCTCATAAAGATCATCGGTCATCCTAGAATTCAGTTTTGACAACAAATAGAGGGCAGATCAAATGTGTGTTCATCCAACCTCCACAGAGTGTGCACTTAGGTCTTTCACAAGTCCTCTCCAAATGTAAGGCGATTTATTAAACATTATTCAATGGGCTAAGGGGGAGGGGTTCCTCCATGGAGATTACCGGACATTATGGAGGAAATATGTGATCTTTGCCAAGATAAGTCAGCAACATTCAATCGTGTTCCATGAATCACCAATGATCTAGCAGATTCACTAGCAGGCATGGACCATATTCATTAGCATGCAGGACCAGACCTCTAAGTCTTTTTTATGTGTTTTCTATTGTCTTACCTCTAAGTCGTTAGGCCTCTTGTCATAACAGTTACCTTGACAACAATTATAAATTAAAAAAAAAAAAGAAGTGTTTTTATTATCGGGTCATCCAAAACTTTGTTCAGCAGAACTGGAAGCGTAAGGCAAGGCGGCACCCTCCCAGTTTTCTTGCGTTCCATAATGTTTGAGGCTTCTAGTTAACTGATGATACAAGCACAAATATTGGTAATTACAGATGGGTTCACCGGAGTAAGTGCTGAACATCTATCTCAAACACTGTTGGAAAAAACGGGCGATCTAACCGGCTGGTTAGATCAGAAGCCGGAACTGGCTAGTGGTGGTTTTGGTGATCAACCGGTATTTAAAAAATAAATAAAGAAATATATATAAATTCCCAAAAATAAGGAATTTGATTTGCAATGTATTTTTTAATATTCTTTACATTAAGGTAAAGATTAAAAAGCACTAGGTGGGTCCTAGGTGGCCTGGGGGGCCTAGGCGCTCAGCGCCTAAGCGGTGGCCTAGTCGAATCCAAAAGTCGAATCCAAAAAGGATGCCCATTTAAATAAAAAAAAGATACATAGTATAAAAAATAAAAATTACGTATTTATGGCACTTACTTAGAGTTTGATTGCTCAATCTTCAAACTTCTACCTCAAAGATGCTCCTAAGGACTCAAAATCTTCTAAAAAACCCCCAATAGATTTATAAAACATCAAAAATTAAATCTAATATCAATGGGTGATGTTTTGATCAATTTTTGTCAAGTTTGAAAAACCCTTCGATCCTAAAGAAATCACCAAAAACTAATTTTTTGGAGGCTTTATCTCTCTAAAATGGACTCCAATAAGTTTTAGGTTTCAAATGAACTTAAAACCATCATTCTAACCCTTTATATTTTAAACAAAAATCAATAAAAAAAAAAAATTCCGCCTCTGGGCGGCTGCCCCCCTAGGTGGGTTCTGTACCGCTTAGGCGGGGCACAGGCCCTGGGAGGCCACCCTGAGCTGGGTACTGGGCGCCCGCCTAGGCAGGTTCCGTACCGCCTAGGCGGCCGCTCAAGGACTGCCGCCCGGATTGGCCGCCTAGGCATGGGCGTTGCACCCAGGCCTTCTGGACCGCCTAGGCGGGGGCGGTCCGCTTTTTGAATCACTGGTTTTAGCTATTATTAATAACTTTTATATTTTCCCATCTTTTTCAAAGAAAAATTAAAATACCCCTAGGCACCAATTGATTTGTTAAAATCTATTTTTTTCATTCATTTTCAACTTCATTTGAATGTGTTTTGTTTTAATCATTCTTTATATGTTTTTCATATTTTAGTAGTTTTTTTTTTTGTGTATCTTTTTTATTTTTTTCAACACTTTTTTGACAGCCCAAGACTTGTTCGGTTAAAGCGGTTGAATCGGCCGGTTTACCGGTTATGCCAGTGAAACCGCTTCCGGGCCCATGTCTGGTTAACCATTCCAGTTTGATTTTGCGAACACTGATCTCAACTTCAATTTATTTCATGGAAAGATAAACCAACCCAAGAAAATCCACATTACATATACCCAAATGAGAGGATTGCGACTGAAATTTTTGGCAACTATGCTAGAACAAATAATGGAACAAAACCGTCATATAGTTGAACATTTATAGGAACATACTAATTCCAAAAAAAAAAATGCACACATAGATTTAGAATTTAGAAATGGCATTGGTCTCATGAGCCCACTCAGCGGGTGCAATTTCGAGTTAGTCTTTGAAGGTGAGAAACAAATATTATAAATAAAATAAAATAAAACTAAGACCACACCAATTCTCATTTGAGGGTAAGAACTTGGTAAGGTTTCAAACAGTGCTATTAGGACTGGGTCAGACCAGTCGGTCAAAAACCTGGAACCCGTGCCCAACCTGGCCCAATCCAGAGAGCTGGACAGGTCATTCCCGCAAACCCGGATGGACCAGATACGCCTCAGTATGGCTAGTTGGACCATAGTAAGCAATACCACGTTTCAAATACAAAATATTCAAAAAGAGAGACTGGTCAAATGAGACAACCCAAAACATTGTTAGTAAATTGTCCAAAGGCACTAAATCTCTGAGCAAAAAATTTGTATTAATTCGATTTTGGTCTTAAAAAAAATTTTGGGAGAGAGAACGATGGATGAATGGGGCTTGGTCCAATGAACCAAGAAAGATGGTCTAAAAAAATGGGGCAAGAGAGAGAGAGAGAGATGATTGAATGGGGCTTGGTCCAATGAACTAAGAAAGATGATACAAGGACTTCAGTGTAATTTTAAGAAGATATTTTTAGAAGCTTTTTTTTGGATAATGATAAAACACGGCTATATTTCATTTTCTTCAGAAAATGAGTTTTTTTTTTAGATATTTTCAAAATCATACCTTCAAACATGTTTGCTAAAAAAGTTCCAGCAGCTTCCAATCCATGGCAGAAAAAGCCACACGTGAACTCTTTATTAAAATTTTCAAGCCATTATGGCCATATTTATTTTTATTTTTTGGTCATCCTAAAATCGTAAGACAATAGGTGGGGTTCCCGATGCTAAAACCCACGATTAGAGACCCTAGAACACATTGCCACTCTTACCTTTACCAAATCCCGAAAACCCTATGGCCCTATTTTCTGGCTACTCGACAGTGAATCCGGATTCCTACTGTCATAAAAGCATGGTGAATCATCAAAGTACGTTGTTGATTTGGTTTTCCATTTTCATAATCGAATACTAAGAAATAACTGGTTTTTTTTAAAGAGTTCTAAGGAAAAATTATGGTTTTTGTTTTTTGTAGGTGAACTAGTTATTTGATACTCTGATTTTTCTATACATATTATAATGAGCTTATAAGTGTTCGATCTTCAGTGGACGATGACTTGGTTAATGGTTTTAACCACTTTAATGAGTTCATGGACTTTAATGATTGATGAGTTAATGCATAAGAAAAAAAGTTAATGAATAACAGTTTGGTCCTCGTCAATTTTTTGCACTTTATCTTTCTACTTTTTGTCGTTGTTATCACTAATATTCTGAATTTCCTAGAGTTTTTAGCAAATTTCAATTTTTTTACAATTTTTTTGACTCTTCAATTAAAAAACCAGTGCCTCCAACTGTTCGATGGCCGGTCAGGACTTCATAACATTGGTTCCAAATGAAGTGCATCAGCATGACTAAAGGCAACAAGCCCAGCTTAACTGAAACCGATAAAGAGATTTGAAACCAGTGGAATGCCCAAAATAGAACAATTGTCAAAGAGTTTCCCCTTTCACTCTTTCTGTTAATAATCGTAGATCAATAGAACCAGATCCGGATGTGGACAATTTATCACTAGCGACTTATTAAAACAACTTCTACAAGACATCTTAGTGATTAGAATAAGCAAAACCAACAAAACTTATCTATACGAGGTCACAACAGAAATCATGACAGTAATCCCATCTAGTGTTGTAGAATAATAAGGGCTAGGGTTGGGACGGACTAGGGTTGGGACTCACTAGGGTCCCGAACCTGAGTCACATCTCACAGACTCGGCAACTTGGCAAAGTCCACAAATATATATAAAGACTCTGACCAATTGGGTATGGTTCTGGACTCGGCAGCCTGCCTGGTCCAAGTAACTCATGAGAATCTGAGAGAGAGTCGCTTATCAGTTTCTTCCTAACGACATTAACTAAGATTACTCTATTATATTCTTCGCACTGACAAAAATCATTTTCTTAAGATTGCAGGTAATCTAATTAAAGAATTATCATGGTATGTGATTCAATATGATTTCAATATTTATTTTTTATCTTTTTTTTTTAGGATTAGATAGTCATAAGAATATCATTCTTAAAAAGAGAAGATCAATAAGAATTTTATCCAATTTCATCCATGCAGCAATCAGTCAAATGCATTAAAATTTACAAATAGGATACGATCAAGAAAAATAAACCAGAATAATAACTACATGGACCCCATATTTAATAAATTTTATCAAAAACCCAGAAATAAGCCAAAAGCGTTTCTAAAAAGGGAAATTGAGGCACAAAATTGCAAATAATCGAGAAAAATGCAAGAACAAAGCATCGCTCAAGAACCAAATTTTCAATTAGGTATAATTACAAGTCAACTTCTATGTCGCAGTCAATTAAAACAGGATAATCCCGTAAGATTTAATCAGTAACATGAATTTAAAAGTTTAACTCAAAATTGCAAACCCTTCATTTTTTGCATAAACCAAATCCAGAAAGTCAAAATTCATGAACCCAAATAAACTACTTCAAGCCACCCCTTCCGGTACAAAATCACTAAACCCTGCAACGGATCGAAGGTCTGAACCAAGGAGAACCTAAGAACTTATCCGAAATTCGAACTCATGAAGCTAAATATTAGTGGAAATTCAAAGCCATGGAACCCTAAAGATCACTCCAAACCATGAAATTCAAAACCACAGAAACGCTAGAGATAGAAATAGGGTTTCTTGAAGAGCGCACCTGAGCCATGTCCACAACCTGCAATCCTCCCTCTCTCTCTCTCTCTCTCTCTCTCTCTCTCTACTTACTACGTTACGTACGTACGTACGTACGTACGTACGTACGTACGTAACGTAACGTAACGTAACGTAACGTAACGTAACGTAACGTAACGAACGTAACGTAACTAACGTAACCGTTAAACCGTAAAC